TATTTCAATCGCGATGAGATAGGATTGGTCGAGTCGAAGTCATGAATAGAACATGTTTGTTCGATGGGTTTGATTTTCAGACTTTCGTCAATCCAAGTATAAATTAAAACCGACTATATGAATCATCATTGTTCAATACACTATGTTTAAGCCCGTCACAGACTCAGTACCGTTAAATATTATTAAAGGAATATAATTATATATTAATTTGAAGAAAGGGACAAGATTTAGCAAACTAAAATCCTAACCAGTTGTTAAATTTCTAACTCATTCAATAGGCTAGTTAGTATTACAAAATATTTTTTTTCTCCCACATTTACCATTGTTCACAAGGGTGTCAAGGAAAGCAGAGCTACAAGAATTATCCACTCGGTAGCAAATCCGCGAACACAGTAACTTTGATTCAAACCTTGTATTGCCTTACGTAATCCATTGAGTTAATATGTACAAATTATTGATTTAGAACCCAATAACGTAAATGAAATAAAAATACGAAGTGACAAACTTCAAATTCTGTCTTCCCCTAATATTAACAGTAAAGTGCATTTTCCCCAATTCCAATATTTGAAATGAATAATGAAGATAAAAAATTATGATCATTAAACCTTAGGAACAGCAAATTTTCCAACTCTAGGAGATAGAATAGATTGCTTATCTACTATAGTCAATATTTGGGGTACAGACATGCCTCCTGAGATGACAATTTCTGCAACATTTAGACGAAAAATCAGACACTTTATAACTATATCATCCTCGCGAGAAGAGAAAATCATAATTGTTTTGGTACGATTGAAGTCATTTTCTATAATATTATTATTATTAATATTTAACATATGTTTTTTCTTCTTTCATAAAGGTATGTCCATACTTCAAACAAACGCAAATATATACGTGTGGAAGTTGAAGTTTAAACTCTTACCTATTCCTTCTCTAACAGAGAGATTGGGCCTCATAATGTCCTTAGAATTGATAAGGAAAACATCTCCAAGGTAAAGATGATTAGTAGGCACATAAACACAGCAGAGTTCCTCGGCACCTGTGCTTTTACGAAGAATAATGGTTGAAGTAATGAAACCAAACGCGTATTCACCAAGGCGTGGATGCCTAATAATTGCCACTTCTTTAAAGGCATGTGAATCCTCATCTGAAAAAAATAATAATAACGTAGCTCGATAGGAGGTCAAGACTGTGTGTTGTAATGATGAGAATCAATTTTGAATTATAGAAAAGGTGTAATTTGTTACCTGGTGAAATTGCACTACTAATTTGTTTGGAGGCAGTATAGATATAACTCATGAGGGGCATTTTTTTGATGATCCATTCTCCTAAACTAAGAAGAGAAGCACCTAACCATGAGGACATGGACACCCCAACCAAGAATATGAAAATTAAGGATGTCACAAATCCAAGACCTGTGAATTGTTAGAGATATAGTTATGAGTGACACAAATACTTGTTCATAAAAACATAAACAAAACTATTAACATAACTTTCTCTCTCCTCAAAACAAGCAGTTCCATAAAATAATTGTCATCTCACCTCCCACCAATAGGCACCAAGTAGCACATTAACTAATCAACGAGATATCTGTCACCTTCCACCAACAACATATATCCGATAATTTAGTCTACCAATATTAGGATAGATGGGAAGAAATCACCTAGTGTTGTTGTCTCAATGAGGAGCTGAACCAGAGACCTCATGGTTCTTAATTGATCACTAATTCATTGACCACTAGGTCACACCTTGGGGTGCTATGTGTCGTTATTTTCTTATGATTATTAGTACAGGGAAAAAAGTTATATTCCAAAGAAATTTAACTTTAAACTCCTCATTTTATACTTGTGAAGTTTTTATAGCCACACAAATATTATGACAAGATTAATTAAGACTACACATTTCAAAAGGACTTCCTAATTTTTACTTAAAAGTTCATGTTAAATCAAACTAGGTGACATAAATTTGAATGAAGTAAAGTATCAAAAAATAGGAAATTAATATACTGACCAAATACATCGATCCCAAGATGATTATAGATTGGAGAAAAGAAGCCATCCACAAAATTAATGAGTTTCCAAGTGAGGTAGAAAGTTATGGCTATGGGAAATAATATGACACTGCAAAACAATGTAAGAATCACATCAATAACAAAGATGTTTTCTTTCTCTTTGAGTAAAATAAAATCATAAGATAGAGTAAATCATCTCTTAAGGGGATTAAATTTAAAAATACATTATGAATTCTGTGGGCTTAGATACTTTTCTTAATAAAAATTTCTATTTCTGTTTTTCAGTTTATTTCTATTGTCTTATTTACTTGAACACAGTTTAATACAACAGATTATAAAATTTTAAAAAAGAATATAGATAAGAAGGAAACTAACCATCCGCTCACAAATTTTTTTGAAAGCCAGCTATGAATATGTTTGCCAAATGCCTATAAAGGTGAAAACTAAACAAAAAATTAGCTGAACTCACTTTAACTGAAATTAGTAGCCTGTAAAACAAGAAAATTATAACAGGTTAAACTACGACTGTCTATAAGTTAAATCCTATTTATCATGATGTGTTAATTCAAGTGCTCCTTTTTTTTATTCTTCCCAAATCTCAAGCTCTATAGTGATAGCTTTAACTACAGGTTCAACTGAATTCAATATTTTAACATGTTAGATAAGGTATAAATAATTTTTGTTCTTGTAATATAAGTCTATATGTGAAAAATTACTACTAAAATTTCATATTAAATTCTGAATCCATAATCTAAATTATACAATCAATTTAGTGCTAAAGAGCACAAAATTGAACCAACTTTTTTTTACTAATATTTAAATATTGAATTCACCTTTGAACCCTATAATTTCTCATGCAACCTAAGCTTCCCACATGCCACGTGTATAATGCGATAGATAGGATGGATGTAGCTAGAGTTACATATTTAAACTGGGTACTTTCGATGAAGAATTTAAATTTGCGTAAAAGCTTATTAAAATTGCAATAGGTAATATATTTGAATCCATAGAATTTCAATCTTAAATCCGTCATATAGAGAAAAGACCTCTTTGGCGGAGTGATGAGAGGAAGGCGAAGAAGGCGAGGGAGATTGATCTGAAGATTTGGAGCCGTTGATCTTCGTTACATCAACGGCTAAGGTTCCCACCGGCATCAGACGTTCCAGATCTCTATCCTTATCTGATCTTCCCATCTCTGATCACCTCTAATGAACAGTAATTAATTAATTAGAACTGGTAATACAAATGCTGATCATAAGCAAAATGCAGTTATTGAATATTTCCTCCTAATGAAAAAATAAAGAAAATAAATAGTACTAATTATCTTATACTCCATCCCATATGGGAAATTGGAAAAATTTCAACTTTAATGTGATGTGCAAAATAAATGAATTTTTGACATTTTTTTTTCCGAAGAAATGAGATTTTTTGTCAACACACCATTTGAATATATGAAATGATATTTTTAGATTTTTTACGTGTAATAAAGGGACTAGAAAAATATTTTTCCCAACTTTTTTTATGTTCCAAAATAAATGAAAATTTTGAAGTCCAAAAATATGTTAATTAATTTTTTTCCAAAATTGTCCTTCTCTTTTAATGGAATATGCTGTCTAGTTTTAATAGAAGTTTGGGAAAAAAAACAAAAGGGTAATGTTGATAAATTATCTTTTAGTAATTAATATCATTAACTAATGATCTTAAAAAGTACGTCACACTCCTAAAAATTTATTTATTTTGGAATGAAGGGATTAATAATTAGTAATTAAAAAAACCCGGTGATTGGTAATAATGGCGGTCTTGATCAAATTTTCGGATTCTTCACGTATACCTAATTTAGTAATTACTTAAATCAAAAGAAAATAATAGGTAGTTTATTCCGAAATGATTTAGGATTTAATTAATTAGGACATGGATTATTTCCATAATAGGTTAATTATACTCCTATAAGGTTTCCATAATTAATCACTGATTCCTATATGGATTCTAAATCACACAACTTATATTATTATAAATACATCTAAACATGTGATTGCCTTTAATAAACTCATTGATCTATAACCTTCAAGTCATCACCAACACACACAAAAAAAAATGTTGTTTTCCTCAAAGACTACTAATAATTACGTACTGATTGCAATACTCATATTTTTTCTTTTGATATTTTTCTACAAATGGACGAAAATGTTGTTGTGTTATAGAGTAACACAACAACAACGTTTGCATAATGTTGAGGAATTGGTGCCAGAAGTAGTGACAACAAAAGGAGAAACAATTATTGAAGTAGTGATCGATATTTCAGAGGAAGCAATAACGACTCCAGCAATTAAAGGAAAAAATAGTGATTGTTCTATTTGTATAGAAGAAATTAAACATGGGGAGATGGTTTTGATTCTTCCTGTTTGTTGCCATAGGTTTCATTATGCTTGTGTTAGGCCTTGGTTAAAGGAAAATAATACATGTCCCATGTGTCGTTCGAGTGTTCGCGAATCGCCATTGCCATATGCTCGAATCGATGATATAATGGAGACGCTCAATAATCATCAAGACTTACAGTCTAGTAGTGAAATAGTATGAAATTTTCACGCAATAAGCGTATGGGTTTTTTGGGGGGCGGAGTTGTTATTTTGTTTAAATCTATATATTAAGAGAGTTTTATGTATCTGATATTTTTCTAATGGAGAAGTCATATTGAAAAAATTCTTACCGTTTATATGTATTGCCGCACTATTTAACTTTGTCTCTTTTCAGTATTTTTAATTTATCATCGTATAGCTTTTGACTTTCTCTAGGGTGATTTATACAACAGAATAGTGCATCTATCATTTAGAAAAAAATTTATGTCCTTATGGTCAACTTCTATTCTGTGGTTTATTCGGATCACTTCCTGGGTCAACCCAATCGATGTTGAGTGGTTTGACCTGAATTTAGATCATTTCCCATCTAAATAGATATTTAGTATTGAATCATAGAACTTATAAAACAGATGCTTCTATCTTAGCAGCAGTTAATATTAGTTACATACTGATATTCTCATTGATAAATATTGCCTTGCATTTAGAACTTCGACTAAACATTAATTCATAACATCATGATTTACAATCTGAGCACGAAATCATTCACACGCTGGTTTCGTGTCGAAGCTGCTCAAGCAGATTGCAAAAGCTTGGAAGGCGGAGAGCGGGTAGCAGTAATCCATGGTGAAGATATCTTTTCCAATTTTCCCAAATTGCAAAATTGTTGTTTCTTGTACTGCAGCGGGTATATTGTGAGATGGATCAACTGCTGCCGCTAGTTGAAAGTTTTTCACGGATGCCACAGTAACGCGGCCTTTGAAATTTAGGCACCAGCACTGCAATTGTTCATGCCATCGAGGGGCCTTGTTTTTAAGCACAAGTGGCTCTCGAGAGGGCACTGACACCGATGAGCTGATATTTACAGCTGGCTCTTTTGCTTTTGAAGGCCTCTCATCGAAAGATTGTGGGAATGATGTAGGCGTTGGAGCACTGCCTCCCTCTTGGATAGAGGAGAAAGGGATGGAATGCATGGCACAATGCATTCTCCGAGGTCCCCTTGTACGGAGAACATTGAGTTCATAGGAAACGGTGGCTATACTGTAGTTGCATGCAGATACTGTTGGGGATACTTGCTTAGCACTGAATCGTCGACTAAGTCTACCACGATGTTGAATCGCTGCATCACTTGGAGGTTGGCTATCATATATAGTGAACTTGGTTCCAAGAAAGTTGGATCTGATCAAAGTTTATAAAGTTATTGAAACAGAATGTAAGGTAATAGAACCTTTCCATTTTTTGACATCACGAAGGACATTGATGATGGTTTAGCTATAGAAAAATAAGTAGTTCGCGGGAACTTGCCTCAGTTTGCCGACATATGTACTGCTAGCTCGAGAAAAATCATCTGAAACCAATGAAATTACGAAGTCTGTGCTTGTTGCCCTTCTGATCCTTTTGGCAGCCAGCAATAGTTTATCACTCACATCCTCAGCTGTCATGAGGTAGCAAATCAGATTTGTACTTTTCAGTGACAAAAAATTAAACTACAACACCTTAAGAAAAAGGGGCAGCCCGGTGCACTAAGCTATCGCTATGTGTGAGGTCCGGTGAAGGGCCGAACCACAATGGTCTATTATACGCAGTCTTACCCTGCGTTTTTGCAAGAGACTGTTTCCACAGCTCGAACTAGTGACCTCCTGATCACATGGAAGAAACTTCACCAGTTACGCCAACATCGCCAAGACTCCCCTTCTAAACCACAACACTAAGAAGCAATACAAAGTTTTGCAGTTCTGGTGTGGTCCAGTATATATAACTTGAAGCTATGTTGCTCTGATGCAGGTGCATGTCAAATTCTCCAAAAGTAGTGTGTTTTTTGGAGAATTTGACATGGGTGCGGCATCCGACCAAACAAACAAGGTAGATCTTGAAGTTGATACCAAACGAAACAAAATTGTGTAAAATCATCTCCATTCTATAATTGAAGTGTCAAACAATGAAAAGAACAACCGTATAAATTTAGAAAATGAACTTCACCCATGATCAAATATGTAATATACATCTTAAAGCTGATTCCAAGGTGCACAACAATTTTATATGAAACAATTCAAGTATCGAGAAGAAAAAGAGCAAGCTCAGCAGCAAAGTGTGACTTACATGGAGTCAAACCAAAGTAGAGGCGGAAAACTGAATTAGCTCTGTCCCGTTTGATAAAGCAATGAATTGGGGATTCACGGGGACCCGGCTGGTCCAAAGCACAAAGGAAAAAACAATGGTCTCTCAGTTTTTTCTTCTTTATTGGTGATAACGAAGTATAAGATAATAATCAAACAGATAAAGGAGAATACCTGTTTTAGTGAAATAGGGAATGTAAGCCTACCACATTCTTCAGGAGTTTTGACAATCTCTTTCGTAACTTCCCTCCACGACTTGCAAACAGATGCACAATAGACTACCGCTGTCCGAGCAGGAAATGATGTCTCACTCTCTTCAACCCTGTGGATAATATCCAAAAGCAGTTCTGGTGGTATATTTGCCCATTGCCCTTGTTGATTGGAATCAAAAGGAACCACATCAGGAGCTATATGTGACCGAGTTCTGTTTCGCCAATGCCTTCCTTCTACTTCTCTTCTCCTTGATATACTCCCTATCCCATTTTTCATTTCCTTCAGCTCGCGGACAATGCTCTTGAATGACATCTCTATTGATCACATCAACAAGACCTTTCCTACAATGAGATGGCAAGGAATTTAGAAGAATTAAAAGACATTTGAAAGTAAATACGAAGAGCCATAGTTCAAAGATCAAATTTCTGTCTATGAAAAAGAACTTTCAAGAATTTTCCATTTTTGGTGACTACATACACTGTTTTTAACAAGCAGCTCTAACACTACATAGTTTAGTCTGTGTCAAGCAATCATCAATAGCAAACAACAACATATCCACTGTAATCCCACAAAGTAGGTCTAGGGAGGCTAGGATATACACAAACCTTACCCCTATCTCTGTGGGGTAGAGAGGTTGTTTCCGATAGACCTCGGCTCAAAATATTGTAATCAAGGCATGACAGAAAGAAAAATAAATCGGCAGCAAAATAGCAAGATAAACAAACAAACAAAACAACAGATTGTTGGGTAACAAACCTATCCCACATTGGATGGAGAAGAAGAAATGTACCAATATATAAGTGCTCACCCAACTCCATTAGTATGAGGCCTTTTGGGATGTGCCCAAAAACAAATCCGTGAGGGCTTGACCCAAAGCGGACAATATCATACTAATGTGGAGCTAGGGTGGTGGTACGTGCGGTCCCAACACAAATGTTAGTGAAGATTAGGAGAATAAGATAGTACACATATACTAACTAATACTACAATGCTCGGCTACCTATTACCTTCCTATCCTAATACTCGACCTCCAAATCTTCCTATTTAGAGTCATGCCCTCGTAAGCTAGAGATGTGTTATATTGTGTCACGCCATCATCCATTACGCCTTAATTCCAAACAAAGTCAAGGCCGGCTATATGAATCCTCTGCAACCATTTCGCGCTATTTGAGTCCAAATCATTACATTAAAGATGAAACTAAACATAGATATTTGCAAAATGAAAACTTTATTAGGAATCCACTATTCCCATTTCAAAATTTAAGCAACAATAATACATCCACAACTTAGAATACCCACCTTCATAAAGACCTATTGATATTTGCACAATTTCTAGCACAGCTCAAGAATTTATTTTTAAAAAACATAACTTTATTAGAAATCAATTGTCAGCTCCAAAATTGAGCAACAAAAATACACCCGCAATTAACATACCCGTTTCAGAAAAAGGTAAATTAAGACCAAAAAAAGGAATAGAAAGATAGAGCTCGGATTTTGATATGAAAAGAAAATTGACGGGGAAAAAAAATAAGAATTTCTAAATCTGGAAAACAAGAAAACCCCAAAATAGATTGGTTCAAAATTAGAATAAATTAAGGGTGGGTGTGAAGAAAACAAAGCTAAACATTAATGTTTGCTAGAAATGGGAACTTCTAAATCTTTAGGAAAAAAATCATAGAGAAAACAGGAAAAACCCAAAAATAAAAACTAAAAAATGGGTCAAAAATAGATGAAAGAGAAGAAATAAACCTGCAAATTGGGTATGAACAAATACAATATTTGCTTCAAAAAATCGGTAGAATCAGATCAGATCAACACAGCTAGCTCCGGCCATCTTCTCCGGAGAAAATCTGGTGGGTAAACATTAGATTTTTCCCTTTATAAAGAGTTGCTACATAACCGGCAACCACCAGTAGCACCACCAACTCCGCCGTATCCTTCGCCGCCGCCACCACCAAGTTGAAGAGAGAGAAAAAAAAAATCAGATTTTCAATGTATTGCAAGTTCCTTCAACCAATTTTTATTTTTTTAATTAGTTGTCTTTCCACCAAATGTTTTTTCCCTTCACGTTTACGCAAAGCTTACTAGATTTTGGACCTTGGGAGTAGGAACTCCCTCACTATTATTTTCTTTAATTTAATTTATTATTAATATTTAGGAAAATTTAATGTGGATGTTGATGCACTCAAAAATATTTATTCGAAAATATTGCTATTAATAGAGATTATTTTTATTCAATTTCACATGATTTAAAAATATTTTAAACTTTTTTTCCATTGATGCTATTACTTCTTTCATTTTAATTTCTGTAATATACATTTCTTTTATGAAAGTAGTAAAATTACTTTTATACAGCTCTTTTGACATTCAGATTATTTTTAAAAATTAATTTTCATGAGATGCTTATCTATCTAACTAATTTTTAATTACTATTACAATGATATTTCTTCACTTATCTCTAATATAATATATATAAATTAGATTAAACTTAATAAAACATAATTGTATTAGTTAATGACGGAAGAGAATATTTAAACAATGGTTAAAAAGAGGGGAAACATAGTATCAAGGTTTAACTGTGAATACTTTAACAAATTAAAATTGTTTTAAAAAAACACATAATATTTATATGAATGCAAAATAATGTTAAATATTTTTAGAGTAGAAAAAATGTCGTATAAATTAAAGTGATAATAATAAAAATATATATTAGGCATGACTTTTCCTAGCATCATGGATGGCAATGGTCAATCTTGTTAGTTAGTGGGTCCTAATAAAGGATGTTATTTTATTTATTTATTTATTTATTCATCTTTGTATTATTATTTTTTATTTCTTCCCGCGTGGGTGGTGGGTCAATTTGTTTAAGCAATAAAGAAATTTCAAATATGGGAATGAAAATGGAAAATACGCTGGAAAAGGCACAATGATAATTAATTAGATTATGATATTTCAAAAAGATGACAATAATGATTAGTATTAAAACAATTTAACATGGTCGAATGATGACATGTATTTAGGTTTAACATAATTTTATTCGATAACTAATACTCCCTCCGTCCCATTTTATATGTATCCTTTTTTATAAATAGCTGGACCACAATACTTGTCATTTTATAAAATTTATGCATAAATTACTATATTTTGCCTATTATACCCTTGATAGAATAGTTAATTAATCTTGTCATTTATTAATAAAGTTGACTTAAAAAAATATTAAATAAGGGTAGAAGGGTAAAGTTACATAATTTCTTAATGCAAGTGCAAAGTAAAAAAGTGACATATAAAATGGGACAGATGGAGTAAAAGATACTCCCTATGTCCCTAATTACTTGTCCACTTTTGAATTGACACACATATTAAGAAAACAATTATTGACATAGTGAATTTATCGTTTACTCCTACTAATTATGAAGTAGATGGATTAAAATTTAAGATTTTCAAGAAATTGTACATTTTTTAATGTAATTAATTGAGGGTATAATAGGTAAAATTATTTTGTCATTTCTTGATTTGTCAAAATGGACAAGTAATTAGGGACAACAATAAAAGAAAAAGTGGACAAGTAATTAGAGACAGAGGAAGTATCTAAGCTGCTAATATTATAAAAAGTATTAAAATGATACTCCCTCCGTCCCTATTTAGTTGTCCATATTTCCTCTTTTAGTTGTCCCTATTTAGTTGTCCATTTTGACAAATCAAGAAAGGACAACAATTTTTTTCCTATTATACCCTTATTTAAATAAAGTAGTCATAAATAAAGTAAATAAACTTATGAACTTCCCAACATTGATTAGTTATCTTGAGTTAATTTATTTTGGAATTGTAAATTGTACTATAATGATAAAATTATAATTTCACTGTGCTAATCATTGTTGCCTTAATCTGTGTATCATTTCTAAAGTGAACAATTAAATAGGGACAGAGGGAGTAATATTCGTCTGTCATACTATGAAAGTTTCTGAAATTAAGGATAGTGGTGAAAAGGATGGGAGGGGTGGGTCTATCACCAATAATGAATCTATAGGGAGAGAAAAAGGAACTTATATAAGGTATTGAGTGACCAAAGAAAAGCTTTAACGAACAAAATGCTTAGGGGATATTTAAAGGCTAAATGTATTTATGGTCCCAAACATACACAATAAATTTGTAGGTAGCTTAATTTTTTTATCCTCTACTTTTTTATACATGTAACTTTTAGTTATTGAATTATGAATTCTCATTTATATTTCCTTTATCAGCTGGATTTTGGGTAGAATTAGGAAGAAATCCCTTTAGTTTGCAAGTCTCAATGGCCCCTCTATACATGTCCTCCAAATTGTACTTGAATTTAAACCCCATATCTATCAGTTTCTTTGATGAAAAACTAGCCACGTCCAACTCCTTGTCAATCCCCTTAAACCTGTCAATTATCCAAAAATATTTAAGTTGAAAATTTAATCTAAATAATCACTTACCCAATTACTTAAAACAAAAAATCTAATATATATATATATATTGATTACAAAAAATAAATAATATTGATCTGACTAGGTATTTGTATAAAGATTTCAACTAAGTTCCCATGACATGTTTACATACAGTGGCGGACCCAGGATTTTCACGAAGTGGGTTCAAGACATAAAAAATAAATAAGCAAAAATGCAAACAAAACAAATTTTGATTAATTAAAATATATCATTACAATTCTATTCTACGAGTTTTCATTTCTTGAAACCTATTCATAATACTCTCATCAGAAATAGTATTAAATATTCTTTTCTCTACATAAGGCACCATACAACTACTCAGAAAATCACCATCCATTCGATTTCGCAATTCACTCTTGATCAACTTCATTGCCGAGAAAGCTCTTTCAACTGTAGCAGTAGCAACCGGCAGGAGCAACGCAAATTTTATAAGGCGAAACACAAGAGGATAATTTAAATGCTTCTTTACCTTAACTAGCATTTCAGAAAGATCACCAAGCCATTTTAAGTTGGAGAACCTTTTATCAACATCACGGACATCAACTATATAAGTCTCTAGCTGATTCCTAAGAGTAACCATTACATTTTCACCAAAATCATCAGGATATAATTCAGTCATTCTCAATATGTTCTTGATGTCAAAACTAGAAAATGAGTCAACAGGATTTAAGCAAGCAACTCCAATAAGCAAATCTGTTCTAACCTCATTAAAACGATCATTGTGGCAATCTACCCCTTGTTTCAATCTTTTAGCGGAATGATGAGTTTCTTCTAATTGGTTCAAGTTTTCTTCCACCCGAGGAGCATTTTGAGCAGATGAACTTGATTGTGGCAACTTGGAGGATATAGGAAAGAAAAATCTCTTCATTTGATATTCAACTTTTATTACCAAATTAAAATTCTAATTAGAAAGTAACTAAACAAAGCATTGTTAAATAAATGGAATTTCAATTAAATGATCTTGCAATTTGCATTGCTTAACTTTAATAAATTGCCATAGCATCTTATTAACTTGACATTACTATGTCGAAAGCATTCTCCTCAAGTTAGATCAATAAAACAAAAGACTACAATTTAGACAATGCCCTTTTATGAGGCTAACATCATACATATCTAACTATACTAAACAATGTTAATACATTCGAAAAAAAATTACATTGACTTATGAATGAGACGGTAAATAACAAGATGGATGAAAAACTAGGCTTCAATATAAACTAAGAAGATAAAAGAATATTATGAATGATTTCTCCTCATTCAACATTTAACAAATAAAAACAAAATATTAAACAAAATAATTATAACCTTAATTTCAGAATCGAATACATAGAAATATACCTAATACTATTTGTAATTTTTTGTTGATTTTAGAATGATAAGGGATTTTTTAGTTGAAGAAATAAAAAATAACCACAATAATCATATATGTATATATAAAGACTAGAATCAAGAGCAAAAAACATACTTGTGCGAGATTTGAGAGACGAGGAGAGTTTTTTTCCTTCAACAAAAAAATATAGTACTCAAAATTTTGGGGGGAAAAGTAAGAGAGGTTCAAGAAGATTTCAACAAAGAAGAAGATAAAAGAGTTTTTAGAATTGAGAATAATAGGGATTAGTGCCTTTTTTGTTTTTAGTTTTTTTTTATTTATTGAGAATAATAGGGATTAGTGCCTTTTTTGTTGAGTTTTTTTTTTTTAAAAAAAAAAAAACTAAAAACAAAAAGGACAAAAGTTGTTGACTATTGGACTTTTAAATGTAAAAGTAAAAAGTTGTTCTACTTTTTATAGTTTCTAAATAACTAAAAGGACAAAAGTTACACCTATATAGAGGACAAAACGTGTGTGAAAGTTTATATATAAAAAAAAACGAATTAAAACTAAAATGTGGCTATAGGGATTCGATCCCGGGTTGGCTGGGAAAATTGAACCCCCTCAACCACTCAGCTAAGCTTCAGACTTGTGTTAGTGGGTTCAAAATTTAATATATACATATAAAATTTTAAAAACTGATTAAATATACATATATATATACAGTGTTATTTTTCAATGAAGTGGGTTCATATGAACCCACTTGAACCACTGTAGGTCCGCCCCTGTTTACATATATAGGATTGAGCTTAGTACATTTATAATATAAAGAATTTTTATAATATCTATTGAAGTAATTAAGAAGCATCTCATCTAAAAGTACTTGTTAGAAAGAGTACATTTTTTTACTTAGTGCCTCAATTTACGCCCATGACGTGCACTTAGGCACGATTTTTGTAATGAGCCAAGCATGTAGAGATTTTTATTATTATTATGGATGGTGGTGAGACTCAATCCCAGTATTTTTTGGATCGTCTAATACCATATTGAATAAATGAACATCAAATTTAATGAAAGCTTAAAATTTTAAATTAATGAGATGGTCATACTATACACTTCAATAATATCAATGAATCTTATCTTGTTAAACAGGTAATATGCCTTATACATTTTTGAGGTTATTCTAAGTGAGATTGTTACACACTTTAATATGTACATGAGATGATAAAGTTATGGATTAGAGTCTAACCACTATCCATTATGAGGGGAAAAAATCATGTGCTTCATTTATGAAAAAGAGTCAGTCCAAGTGTCGAACACATCAACAAGCGTATATCATTAT